TGTAGACCTGGGAGAGACCCTAGTCTGAAATCCTGGATAACTGCTGTTAGTCATTGTGGACAATACTGAGCTAGATGGACCAATGTTCCTGCGTACAAGGAGTACAATAATACAATACAAAGCACAGTTGTGGTTTACTGTACTCCCAGAACATTGAAACACCCACACAACTATTAATCCTGATGTTAGTATCCATATTCTTGTACACATTTTTTTTATAAGCAAATACCTTCTTTTCACACAATGATCTTGGTAATGAGGCGATTAAACAAACCTGTTAATATTGTGCCCACATAGGAATGATGTGGCGTTTTTGCTATAGAAGTCAAAGGCTTTTCATAAAACAATATATGAAAAACACTGCCTTAGTGTTAGCATGGCTTGCACAATCTGGCTGTTTTTATTTATATTTGCTGTTGCCTTGTGCGGTTAGGCGCCTCATAATTCATTGCTTCACTTTCAATGAGTTATAGTCCTCGCCCTCACATACAAATCTTAATAATAAATATAGCATTGGTCTTGCATGCATTCTCTGTCTCTGTCTCTGATGCATGGATATGCTCACAGAATCTAGACCTGTTGTTATTACACGGACAGGACTCCCTATAAATAGTGTTTTCAATTTAACCACAGCCCAACTTTCTGCAAGGATCTAATTCTGTGCAGTGGGAAAATCACATCACAGGAACATAGGAAGCTGCCTTGTACTAGATAGGACATTTCCCCCATTTAGTTCAGTATTGTCACAGTTTGGAATATGCAGGGTGTTGGCTGAATGAGTGTCATCATAGAAGGCTACAATCTGAATTGTTGTCCACCCACCCCGTACTAAAGGAAGGAAAGAAGGAAGGAAAGAAGGAAGGAAGGAAGGAAGGAAGGAAGGAAGGAAGGAAGAACAAGTCTAGCAAAGCGAACTTGTGATTTTGTTATTTTATTTTAAGTTTTAAAGAGGGGCACATAAAATGTCTAAATAATAAAAAAAGAGATAAAGATGGAGGTAAAAGTAATGAGTAGCAAACTAATCAGTATGCTAGATCAGTTGCACTTTTCTGCTTGTTTTGAATTACTTCTTCTTCTTCTAAAGTATTTTGTATAATGATAACGCCAAGGCCAATTTTAAATTGATACTTGGACAACATTCCCCATACATCAGAAATTTGGAAAGTGCAATATGTGGGAAGCAACTGCTTCAGGACGAAGGGGTCACAAAGCTCTTGAATAAAAAATGAATGGAATCTTGTGGCCTGCCCCAGTCCTGATCCCACACTGATGCAAACAAGATTTTTTCCCCCTCCAGAACTTTGCTAAAGTGTATTGTAATAAAAGCTTGAAGATGTATGGGTTTCTGCTTGGGTGACACTGCTCAGGGCAGCAAAAGAGCTTCAGTGAGCCTAGGTAAAATTTTCTGCATAGCCCTAGTGCAACAGAAGCAGGAAACATCAATGGCTCTCCCAAGTCAGACAACTAAACACAACACTGCAGGCATATGGTGCCCCAACTTCACTCAAACGAAGCAGTTTACATCTGGTTGGGCAGCTGAAGTGGGGACTGCCTTATTCCACTGCCATATTTCATGGATCAAAGACAGGATATCAATGTAAATAAATGAATGCATACATACTCCCCGATCCCATTTGAGGATTATCTTTTACAATCAGTTATCCAACCAAGAACGCCATAATGGAGATTGTGAAATTCAGGGAATGCCCACATACATAAAGATGCAGATCATAAGCTGTCATATGGATTATTTCTCTCTTTATTTAAGCTACTTGAAACCTGGCCTCTTGATGGCAATATTCTGGGGAACACTAGGGACTGACCCTGAGAGCCAGATAAGGAGGCTGCCACTGGCACTCTTTTAGCTTTGAAACTGGGGTGTTTCCCCTGGTTTGTGAAAGGGGGGGACCCAGATGACTCCCCATGCGCTGAAAGATAGTGTGAAGAGAGCTGCAGGGTTCACCGCTCCATTGCTGCAGTCTGGGGCCATGCCCTCTGCTGCCCATGCCTTCATCCAGCATGCTAAAAGGGTGCCCCTTTTAGCATGCTGGTACTGATGTTTGTGTATAGGAATCCACCTCCCGGGCCTGAAGGGACCCTAGCTCAACAATAACTTACTAAAATCATATGGATAAATACTAAATAAAAACCCGCAAAAATAATCTAAGGAATCTTAAAATATTCTTGAAAGCATGCGAGAACAGAGTAGACTTCACCTGATGACTAAAGGACATCAGAGATGCTCCAACCAAACGTGACTCTAGAGATTACACAATTTGAGTGTCACCGCAAAGAAGGCCTCCATCTTTTCCAAGATGTCTGAATATTTTTTAAAAAATGCTCTAAGTAGCTCCCCCTGACGAAACCATGCATTATTTTAGTCAGTATCTAATAAGCCTCAAATTCATAAATAATGTACAAGAACCAATCCTGCCTTTCATATTCCAGCCAAAGAAAAACCAGTGATTAAAGATGGGTGAGCAGGATCATCCTCTTATTCTGAGTGCTGATATTCTTGAAAAGGAAATGTAAAATAAAAGTTTGTCAAGCCATCTCTTTGAATAGAGTTCCTTGCTGAATAACGGTGTTGTTTAATTATGGTGAAACCTGTGGCCTGTCTTTAATATTGCTAATACAAACTCTTTTGTATATCATCCACTGGCTATACTTAAAAAAAATCCTTACTATCCTTCATGGTTCCTTGTTGCTTTTGCTTGTTCTGCTGGTTTAAAATATTAGAATGTAACATTTCCAAATTGCTAATATATTGATTACTGTTCACTTTTTCAGTACCAGTTAACCTTAATGTTAAATATGAAGCAGCAGCACTTAAGCCCATAGAAACTTAACCCTTCTTTAATAAGACCTAAGAGTAAAGAATAAAGAAAGCATTTTTCTTCTTCCTCCTTACAAGAAGGCACATGAAATGTTCTCTGAGTTAAGTTTTACCATTCATAATGAATGCAGTCTCGCCATTCAAATGCGACCATAAGTACACAGAAGATAAGAATTTAATTAAATGTAGATTAAAACCAAACAGGAAAACACACTCGCTGATAATTTTATCCCATCCTCTGGCCATATTTTTTATACTTCCTTCTTGTTCTTCTTTGGGCTACAGCTTATCAACATGCCGATAGTACCATAACTCATTACATCTGATGGTGCAGCTGGAATGTGCAGACTTGGTGCTTGAATTTCAGAGGCACTTAAAATGCAAAGCATGTAAATGCCTATGTTAAATATATTAGTGTGGTAATGTTAGTGAAAGAAAGTGATTTCTAACAAATCCTTGCACCTCACATTAAATGTTATCGTTGCCCAGTTAGAAAGGCATTTCAAAATTTCTGCTTAATCTTTCCTTAAAAACTACAGAGTGACACCCCCCCTTGCCTAATCAGGATTTTTTTATTATTATTGTCAGGGCAATCACAAAACTATATTATTAAAACAAAAGAGATGCTGTTCAGGTGGGTGGTTTGATCAGCTTATGCTATAGAGCTGATGGTCTGTGAAGGAAAGGTGCAAAACTAAGGATTCTCCCCTTCCAAGATTATCCCTGGTTTGGGTTTTTTTTAATCACCTGGTCTTGTGCTGGTTGCGCTTCAGAAGCGTTAGGAATTCTGTTTTTTAATTGCTGCATTTTGTGCAGACTGCTGTGCACGCACAGTTTGTTGCTGCTTTTAGTTCATTCATTTCTTTCTCCCCTCCTGCTCTTTATTACTGATGTGTGCTCATAAAGCTCAGGCGGGGGCAATAGATTTTGGGTATAATGTTGAATATGATGCGTGGTTAAAACTGTGGAATGAAAATTTAAAATTTACAGCTTTCGTGGCATTAAAAGAAAATGTAATGAAAATGATGTACAAATTGTTATTTGACACTGGTAAAATTGGCTAAAATGTATAGAATGAATAATAGTATGTGTTGGAAATGTAAAGAGAAGGATGGAGATTTTGATCATATGTGGTGGACATGTGACAAAATAAGTTGTTTTTGGGAGCTGATATGTAATGAACTTAAAAAGATGTTCAAATATACTTTCCCCCCAAAATTGGAAGCATTTCTGCTTGGGTTGATGGCGGAAGAAATTGCGTAAGCAGACCAAAGACTATTTTTGTATGCCACAGTTGCGGCAAGAACTTTATTAGCCCCAAAGTGGAAATTACAGGATATACCAACGATTGTGGAGTGGCAGACGAAAGTGAAGGACTATGCTGAACTGGCAAAACTGACTTGCAAAGTGAGGAATCAGGAGGACCCAAAATTCCAGAGAGACTCGAGTAAATTTATTGACTACGTTAATCATTGTAAAAGTCTGAAGACATTAGCAGGACTGAAAAAATTCCTACGACATGGACTTTATAGTTTAAGTTATAAGTGCGATATATAGATTGGTAATAGAAAGCTTGTTGAAGTGGGGGAGGGAAGTCTTAAGCTCGGCAGAGCGTGGAAGGATTGGATTGGCGAAGTAAAGTGAAATTATTGTTTGATGAGAAAATGAATAAAAATTATATTTTTAAAAAAACAAATCTCAGGCAGGTGAGGGAGCAGTCTTCATGTGATTCTGTGGTATTTTGTCAATACACAGGAGCATACATGTTCATCAGTAAAACAATGCAGGGGGGGAATCTTAATGCAGTCATTTACATGATCACACCCAGATTGCTTCCCCGCCCCCATTCTTTTTTGCACGGCGGTGTTTTATCAACAAGCAGAGCACATGGGCCCACCATAAAACAAAAATTCCAGGGGAAAATATTTATACAGTCAGTGTCACATCCAGATTGCTTCCATCCCCTGTGTTTTATCAGTGAGCACATGTGCATCTCTAACGAGACAAGGGGAAGGAGATGGAAATGAACTGAAGGAACTGCATCAAACAATGCATGTTTCAGTTTCCACAATTAATTTTAGAAATTCTCCAAGTTAAATTGGAAGCAAGCAAGAGTAGAATGCAGGCAGAGTGCTGTCCAGATTTGCTGAGGTTGGGCATGCTT